TGTTGGTACCATACTTCCTGTCCTGGGCTGATAACTAACCATACTCTATGGAAAAGCGGTTTTGTAGCTCTAGGACAGGACTACATAACATCTCCCCTTCTTTCCATCTTCTTAACATAGGAGGAAGATACTCTGCAAATCTCTAAGGTAAACAAGGCAGGGATGATGACATGAATAGGGATTTCAGTGCAGCAGAGAGCACAGGACGGTACAAGCTCACTGGGTTTCTGGCAGAACATGTATTTTTCTGCACTTACTGAACAAATCTAACAAAACGCTTTCAACACTGGCTTATAACAGACCAAAAGGGGGCCACTAAGAATTTAATGGTTAGGGATTATATGTACTTTTAAACCCAACTCCAGGCAAGAAAGCTCTGTTTTGCATAGGAATCTCTAAGTTTTTTAATGCTCTGTGTCCCTGTTGGAAACATTTCCCTTCACTTCCTCTCAAGTGAGAAAGGGTTGTAACTTCTTACAGTGCTTATACTGGTGTCCATGCATTTCTGTCCTTTGACAAATGTAACACTTGTTAAAAGGTAAAAAAAAAAAAAAAAACCCACACCTTTCTCCTCTGTGCAGAAGCCCCCCCTCCCCCCCCCCAATGCTCACACAAGCCCCATCTCAATCCAGCGATGTGCATTGGAGTCTCAGCTATCCTGGGACTCCCTTTTCTCATTGGCCAATACAGAAGTGGGAGCCATTAGCTCCCACCGCTGTCAATCACAGCCTATGAGCCAAAGAGAAGAGAGGGGGCAGGGCCGAGATGCAGCTGCGTGTGTGGATATACAGAGCAGTGGGTGCCCCCATAGCAAGCTGCTTGTTGTGGGGGCACCTGACAGGAGGGAAGGGCCCAATGCCATCCTGAGAAATATTTTTTTATTGTTGTGTCTTGTGTTCTGTGGACTAATTTTTCTATACCCAGAGTTTCCCCAATAAATGCCCACATGTTGGGTTTCGTGTGATCTGCCTCCGTGTGCTCTCTCTGCGCTCCTAGCTCGTCACACAGTCTCCATCTCTGACATCCTTTGTTCCATTTTGGGCATAAAGGAAATTAAACGATTAACAGTGGGATGTCATGGGCGACTCTATAGCAAAAGTAGCACTAAGCACTAAACCAGAACAGCCAATGAGAATTCATTTTTGGCTCATGTGACTTCAATAACCTGGATGCTATACCCCACATTCATGGTGAAGCCAGTTCATACCATCTTCACTCTTGAGCGGACATATGGTGAAACAGTCTATGACTCGAGAGGTGAAGTCTAAGGTGACCAGGCTTTTTCCTTGCATGATGGTGACGCAGTGACGGTCCCCGTAGCTGGCTCTAGGCATACCCCCGCTGAAGATGATGAAGTGGTTCCTGGAGAGGAGAGAAAGGAAGGAACCGTGGACAAAAAGGAAACTGTACATTTACATAGCAGGATCACAGAACAAAGAAAACTGTACAATTACATAGCAGGAAATATAAAACCAGCTGGGTCTATGACGTCATTTATAATGCACAAAACACAGATTGGTCTTGTGAAAAACAGGATTTGGACAGCAATTGTTTCGGTAATGGGAGAAATTTGGGGGACCAGGTGTGGGAAGTGACCATGTGTCATACCTTTAAATAAAAAACAGAACTGGAACACACAGGAGTCCCTATGCTCCCAGCCTCATGTCCAGCCATCTAAGCCAAGATCACATTTTTAATATTTGTTTAAATAAAAATTCCTCACTACGCCAATGGCTGTTGTATCATCACGGCAAGAAGTCGATGCAAAATACTCAGATCTTCTAATTCACGCATTTTCACTGAAGAATACCTCTCATCTGACAAAATCACAGTCATGAAATCACAATTATGAAAAAAACTCTCAGATGAACTTGGCCTTAGGGCTAAACTACACAGCAGATTTTAGCTGCTTAGTGGCAGGAAGTTAACTTCCTATTAACAAATGCTTTATTTGCAGCACTCTCAAATTAATGTGCAGCACATCAGGAGTGATTACATTATATCTTAAACCTGTTGGATGCCCTCTTCTCTTTCTGTGGTATTCTCTTTTTCCTTCCTTTTTTGACTCTCTCCCCCCCCCCCCCCCATTTTGAGTTGCAAAAGTGGCACTTATTGCACCATCATGTCGAATCGCTGATTCTTCCCAAATTCAGAGCAACAATGTGCTCCCCGTAGCACTCATTGAGTTTGCACTAATATAGGGCTCAGCTTCCTTACTCCTTATCTAGCCCCCACTAGTATGGCCGACCAAGTAGAGGCTTGAGCCCGCAACTAGTGAAAGTCTATGCGGTACTCTATGAATTTTTTTTTTTTATGCCATTAGCTAGTCTTTGCTGACAATGACTTATCTTGTGTACTGTTGTCATTGTATTCTGCTGCCTTTTCTTTGTCAGCATGCCATGATTTTCAGTAAAAATATATTCTTAAAAAAAAAAAAAAAAAAAAGTATAGTTTTAGATATGGTAAATAATATTCATGACACCTCTGGATTTTTCTTTTTTGCCATTCTGGTCTTCATGGGGAAAGAGGGAGTGATTTGCATTCACCTCCTGTCTTGGAGACACAATAGGTAGTAAGAAAATCTTTCCAACGTGAAGGGAAATCTTCCTTTTTAACAGATGTGACTATAACAGGTGTCCCCCACTGGAGGCGTCTCCATCTCTTCCTGCTCTGATGTCTATTCTAAAATGCTGGATTTCTAAAACACTTTCTCTCTAGATGGCAACAGTAAGAACAATAGAGGGGGACTCTGAGGGGAGCAGGAGCAGAAAAAAAGTGTCAGCTTGGAGTTCTTTAACCATTTGACGCCCGGCCAATAGCCGTATGGCGTCCAGAAAAATGCACTAGCTTTCCGGGAGGCCACCATTTGGCGTACTCCCGCACATGCGCAGATTGCGGTCCTGCAGAGCCGCGCAGCAGCGCGATCTGTCACCGGCCGTGTACCTCGGACACGGCCGATGACAGATCTGAGTATCGGCCCCGTTTCTGGTACCATGAGACCTGCTGTGACCAATCACAGCAGGTCACATGACAGTTGTATACAATGGATGGCTTCATTCATGCCATCCATCGTATACTAGTGTCTAGCTATGAATGGTCACAGCTAATCACATGCACATGTCATGTGATTAGCTGTGGCCAAATCACAGCTAAGCACACAAAAAAAAAAAAAAAAAAAAAAAAAACCCTGAATGAATCGATGTCATTCAGCTAAATGCTTGCTTATAGCAAAGTAATTCTTTGCTATAAGCAAATTGTGTAAAAAAAAAAAAAAAAAAAAACTGATCACTTCCCCAAAATAGTACAATGTTACTATGGTAACGTTGTCCTACTTTGGGCATAGTAAAATATGAAAAAAAAAATTTATGAAAAAATGTAAAATAATAATCAAATAAAAAAAATATATTTTTTTTTTTCAAACTGTCACCAGTGTCCCTGATCACCGCCATGCCATTTATATGATGACTCTGTACTGCACTGGTGACATTATGTAAAAAAAAAAAAAAAATTATGAAAATAATTTTTTTTATTCTTTCATTTTCCGAAAAATGACAAAAAAAAAAATACAACTTCAAAAAACTCGCCATGCCTCTTATGAAGTACGTTGGACTGTCTACTCTGCAAAAAGGGGTCTTTTGGGGGATATCTGTAGTATTCTGACATTCTTGGACCTCAAGAAATTTGATTGGCTGTCAGTACTTCAGGATTGATCAATATTCAGATCTATACCATAGTTTGTGAACTCTATAACTTTCCTACAAACTAAGAAATACATCCTAATTTGGGTTATTTTCACCAAAGACATGTAGCAGAATCCATCTCGGCCTAAATTTATGAAGAACAATTATTTATTCGCAAACGTTTATAACAGAAACAAAGAAAAACGTGTTTTTTTTTTTTTCAAAATTTTCTGTCTTTTTTTGTTAATTTAGCAAAAAATAAAAACCCCAGCGATGATTAAATACCACCAAAAGAAAGCTCTAGTTGTGTGACGAAAATGATAAAATTTTAGTTTGGGTACAGTGTTGTATGACCGCGCAATTGTCATTCAAAGTGTGAGAGCGCTGAAACCTGAAAAATGGCCTGGGCAGGAAGGGGGAAAATTGCCCGATATTGAATTGGTTAACTAATCTAATTTTGATTATTAGAGCTCTCACCTGAGCCCAAGCAAAGGCTGCTACACACACGGGCTGAATATTTCTGTTCAGCCAGCCGACATTCAGCCCGTGTGTATAGCGGCCTGTCCAACAAAAGCCGGTCTAAACAGCTGCCTTTTATTGAACGGTCATGCTGGAAAACCAGCATCCGACCAGCGCTTGCAGCCAATGGCTGTGAGAGCTGATCAGTGTGTTGTGGTGAGAGGGCAGTCCCCCTGTCAGAACACAATAGCTCAGCAAGGTAGATCGCAGCACCAACATCGCCTAGATAGCATAGTTGCTGCTCAGTTTTTTTTTTGGGGGTTTTATTCGTTCAGCCTGCTGGATTGAACAAAAAAAAACCTCCTTGAGTGAACCAGGTATAACTTTGTTGAATGCTGTAAGGAGATGTATGAAGACTACCTCCCAAGCATACAGAATCTTCAATGTCAACAAACACTGAATAAAGATGGATAGAACACTAGCAAGATTATTCATTTATTTATTCATTGCTTAGTGAAGAAGAACAACTCTCAGCAACTCATCAACTAATCAGAAATTACTTCTAGAGCACTACAAGAGTTCTGATGATCTGATTTGGTTAATGTCAATACTGTGCTTTATTGAATCACCCTTTACAAATTCAGCTTTCATAAGCCTCTGCGGAGGACTCCCAATGTGTATATGGAAATACGATGAATACATTTCAGCACAGCCTTCCAATCTGCCTCCTTTCCCAAGCACAGAAAAAAGGTGCCTGGATGCTTTTACAAAATCTTGAACCATCAGCACAACACTGTAGATTGAACGACTGAACTAATCACATGTGAAATAACGAACATCTAACGGCCAGAAAAAAAAAAAACATCCTTCCTTGCAGTGGGACTGCACACGTACTGCCAGGGGTTAAATGTCTCACTGCAAAAGGAGGGTTTTTATTTTCTGGAGTTGGGATTGAAAGAATTAATAAAAACATACCCTGAACCGCTGGATAGATACTGAATTTTGTTGACAGCTTTGCAAGGGAACGGGCCTGAGGGGAGAAGAGAAAAAAAAAAATATATAGTTTTACTTTGACAAGTAACATGTTTGAAAGAAAATTTAAATTTACAAAACAAAAGAATACACACAAAGAGTACAGAGCTCACATATAGGTCAGATGATGTCACAAATTATACAGGAGAAACTATTGAACATTCACATCACAAATTAATACAGGGAGAAACTATTGAACATTCACATCACAAATTAATACAGAGAGAGAAACTATTGAACATTCACGTCACAAATTAATACAGGGAGAAACTATTGAACATTCACATCACAAATTAATACAGGGAGAAACTATTGAACATTCACATCACAAATTAATACAGGGAGAAACTATTGAACATTCACATCAAAAATTAATACAGGGAGAAACTATTGAACATTCACATCACAAAAATTAATACAGGGAGAAACTATTGAACATTCACATCACAAATTAAAACAGGGAGAAACTATTAAACATTCACTCATACAGACGGTAACCCCCCCTCAAAATGGCTTTACAAAGTCAATTGTATACAAAATTATCTTTTCTCCTCCAAAAAAAAATATAATACCTTGGCCCTGGTCTCCGAAGCTGCTGGGAGGCACAAGTAACATCATCGTGACTTCTAGTGGAGCTGGAACCTCAAAATCCCGTAAAAAGGTACTCCAGCCCATTGCAAAAGCGCACTCATAGAATTTCACATCAACTTTGCCAAAAGGCACTGTGATGTCACCCATGTTACCCAGAAATGCCGCCCGAGGAAGTGGAAGGTCGAGCTGCGTTTTTTTTTTCTTGCCAAGTTTTCTTACAAGTGGATTTTCAAAGGCCTCTGCACTGGTAGGGTGAAGTGATGGGGGGGGGGGGTAAGGAGCTGGCAATAAAAAAGGAACCTTCTCCCTGAATTCAAATACAACCTGAGGGTGTGCTTTTTTTCCCCCCATTTTACTGTATGTCAACACAATATCAGCAGTGTGTTGCGGCACCATTAGTTTTTAATGGCACCCCAATGCACCTTGCAGACATCCTTGTTTCAGTGCACTACAATAGTATTGCGGTGCTGTGCAATGGAAAAAGAAAAAAAAAAATCTGGTACATTTTAGGTGCGTTATGTGCTGCCAGCCTATACAAGAACAAATGGACTGCTTTAAATGCAGCATACTCCAACCCACAGCAATACAATGTGTTCACTCACACTTTAAATTGATACTAAAAAGGTTCAGATTTTTTTTTCTTTTCTTTTCAATATAAACAAACATGTCATACTTGCCGGCTCTGGGCAATATTTTTGCATGAAGCAACCCCAATCCTCTTCTCGCATCCCTCGCTGGCACTGCTGACCCCTGCTGAGTGCCCCCAGAGCAAGCAGCCTCGGTGTGTCTCGGACCGGTCACCCACTCCCTCCTTACTGGCTGTGATTAGCAGAAGTGGGAACCAATGGCTCCTGCTGCTATGTCTCAGCCAATGAGGGAGAGATCCAGGTGAGCTCTCATGCATATTACTGGATCGAGAGTGGGCTCAGGTAAGTATTAAGGGAAGCTGCATGCTGAAGGTTTTTTACCTTCATGCATAGAATGCAAGAAGGTAAAAAACCTTCAGCCTTCAAAACCGCTTTAACTAAAGCTAGGTTTATACCAATGCAGTTTGCGTTTGATCCGTTTCTGCATTGCGTTTTTGCACGTGTTGTGTTTTTTTTTTCCTTGTTGCTAGGCAGATTTAAACCGCAAAGAGCTTCAAAAACACACTATGTGCTTTTCTGCAGCATTTCCATCGAAGTCTATAGAATCAAAAAAGCAACTTTTTGCATTCAAAATAGTCCCTGTCCCTTTCCAAAAAACGCACCGGGTGAAAATGCAGAAAAGTGAAGGTGTTCATGGACTATAAATGCAAAACGCTGCGGAAAATGCTTAGGTGTTAACCTAGGGCAGCGGTTTCTCAACCTGTGGGTCGCGACCCCTTTGGGGGTCAAACGACCCTTCCACAGGAGTCGCCCGAGACCATCGGAAAACACATTTCCAATGGTCTTAGGAACAGAGACACCGCTCCTCTATCCGTCTCCAGGCGGGTCCGCCCACATGCAGCTACGCCCACATACGAGTACCCGGCGTGATGACATCATCGCGCCAACCCCATCACATACACCCCATACAAATACAGGTGTGTGACAGGGTTGGCACCATAATGTACTTATGTGGACAGTCACACGTGTAAAAAGAGCAGCTACTGTGTAAAAAGAGCTACTGCTAGAAAGCACTACTGTGTAGAAAGCAGCTACTGTAGAAAGTACTGTGTAGAAAGCAGCTACTGTGTAGAAAGCAGCTACTGTGTAGAAAGCAGTACTGTGTAGAAAAGCAGAAAGCAGCTACTGTGTAGAAAGCAGCAGTATTGGAGGTAAAACGATATTTCATGAATTGGAATGCTTTAATTATGTTCAAATTGTAACAATGATAACACATCCTGCATATCAGATATTTACATTACGATTCATAATAGTAGCAAAATTACAGTTATGAAGTAGCAGCGAAAATACATTTTATGGTTGGGGGGTCACCACGACATGAGGAACTATATTAAAGGGTCGCGGCATTAGGAAGGTTGGGAACCACTGACCTAGGGTAATGGTGTGAATCCAGCCTTAATAATATGAATTATATATTAATATTAGAAATAAATATTTTGCAGCACAAAACCAGCGCAAGCATAGAAAGGTGGCCTCCTTTTACTGCTACAGGCCAGTAAAGAACATTATTTCCTTAATCAGTCACAAATGCGCATATTATCCTGGGATTCACAGTGTATATGGCCGCCAGTTACGACCCAGCTGGAACGATTCCAGAATTTTTCTGCCAAATGAAGCATCCAAAATAAAAAGCTAGCAGGCTTAATTAGTGGTTGTCGTCACATATTTGTATGAAAAAATTTTGTGTTTCTGCTTGGAATTCTCCACCTCACACAGTCCCATCCTCGGAGGACAGCAGAGGCCTCGGATACCTCCTGATAAGAGCACTGTATACTTAGGAATTCCAATCGAAGTTCAGTGAGAGGACAACAGCAATTCAAGTTCACAAAGAATACAAATCCTCAACCCCTAACGGGCAGGACATTTTTTTCCTTTCCTTCGTAGAAAAAAGTCAACATCCTCTAATTAGTACAAGTAAAAAATGTATGTCACCAGACATTTGTTGCGTGTCAAACTTTACTAAAGCTGAACTTCAGGCAAACTGCTAAATACACAGATGAAATGCATGCTTAGGAGCAGGGGCAGCTGACAACTCATGGGGCCCCCGGGCAATAGGGGATCATGGGGCCCCTGTGTCCTTGCCCAAACTCAAAAAAGCCTATGAAAAAGGTACCAGGGGCATCTCTTGGGGCCCCCTACTGACCCCGGGCCCTCGGGTAGTGCCCGAGTTTTTCCAAATGGTCAGTCTGCCCCTGCTTAGGAGTGGTTTTGTGTGTCAAATGAATTGCATTTCTGACCATTCTGTCGTGAGATTTAAGCAGTTCTACCGCACAGCGCAACTTTTAGACCTGACTTTCCTCTGGAGCAGTTCAGTAAAATTCATAGATCTTGTCATTCCCTCGCCTGTGCCTGGACAGTGAAAAGAGAAGCAGCAGACTGGTGAGCTCATCTCGCTGTCACTCCGCTCTCTTAGCACACGAGCACTGCAGCACAACCAACCGACTAAAACCTATACAGTTCCACCTCTCCCAGTCTAAGCTCTGATGTACAGGGATTGCAAGATGCTGAAAGTCAAACTCTGGTATCTACACTGTCATAAAAAAAATGTTTTAATTATAATTTAAGTGGTAAAGCATTACTAAAAGCAAAACCCTTTTTTTGTTTTTGTTTTTTTGTTTGTTTTTTTTGGGTAGAGTGGAGAGGGATTAGAACACTAGGTTTTTATTGCTGTCTGTGCCCGTCAGGAAGATTCGCCTTCTCCGTTTGCCATTACAATGATATCGCAGTTCGCAAAAATTCGGTTTGCGAACTCCGCTTCGGTTGACGAACACGAGCCGCGGCCATCTTCCCTGCTCTGACACGTGGCCCTGACTTCCTGTAGGTGAGATCACAGTCACAGACAGACGCTGAAAGTGTACTGTGAAGGCACTTACAGTACAGAGAAGCTTTTTTGTTGTGGTTTTTATGACATACTGTAAATCCCTGTGCACACTTGTAGTAAAGCTTTTTTGTATGCTTTTTAGCACAAACTGTACCGGTCATCCAGCATGGCTCCAAAGAAAATTCAGAGCAAGCATGGTGGTAAGAAGAAAGTGCAGAGCGGTGATGAAGGTGACCAGAACGTGCAAAGCGGTGATGAAGGTGACCAGAACGTGCAGAGCGGTGATGAAGGTGACCAGAACGTGCAGAGCAGTGATGAAGGTGACCAGAACGTGCAGAGCAGTGATGAAGGTGACCAGAACGTCCAGAGCGGTGATGAAGGGTGACCAGTGATGAGAGGTGAAGGTGACCAGAACGTGCAGAGCAGTGATGAAGGTGACCAGAACGTGCAGAGCAGTGATGAAGGTGACCAGAACGTGCAGAGCAGTGATGAAGGTGACAAGAATGTGCAGAGCAAGCATGTTGTTGAAAAGAAAGTGCAGAGTGGTGATGAAGGTGACCAGAACGTGCAGAGCAAGCATGGTGGTAAAAAAAAAAAAGTGCAGAATGGCAAAAAAAAGTGCAGAGTGGTAACAAAGCTGACCAGAAGCACCACCCCAACATAACTAATGAACAGAGTGCTGAATCTGATGAATGATAACATGGTCTCTTATTTCCAGAGCAGCGCAGGAAAAGAGAATTGACACTGGACAGATTTTTCACCAAAACTGAGCCTGCAGCTAAGAGACAAAGAGGAAACCCTGAAGGAGATGGCGCTATTGGTGACACACTATTGGTGACACACATTTCTTAATATGAATGAATGGTGCTATTGGTGACACACATTTCTCAATATGAATGAATGGCACTATTGGTGAAATACAATTCTCAATATGAATGAATGGCACTATTGGTTGACATACATTTCTAAAAATATGAATGAATGGCACTATTGATCTTGTTGCTACAAATCCAGTCTCCCCCTCTACAGATGCATACTTCTCTCAATCCAGTGGCCGCCGTTCTGCTGTTTTTTTTACAATCAGTGTCATAAGCCATCACTGTCCTGGTCGCACCTGTGTACTGCAGCTCCACGGACTACTGTGTGCCCTGAGGCCAGCGGTGTTCAAGTGTCTATGGGACATGAAAGCAGCCAGGACATGATGAACTGCAGTGTTGCATGAAAGCACAACAGTAGAATGGCAGCTGTATGTATCTCTAAAGGAGGAGGGTGGGATATGTCTGGGAAGAATACATTCATTTTTAAAGTGCAATTAGATTTTAAAACCCATAGTCTGGGCACGGTTGCACAACAAGCCTCACAAGTGGTCTTCGATGAATGACACTTACCATACGGAATAGAGGCGGTAACCGGCTGGGATGTAGAGGAGGAATTATTGCTGACTGCCCACACCATGTACCCTCCATCGCTGTGAGAGCTAACAAACGATGTCCCACTGCTCTCCCAACACAAACTTTCCAATTGCTGGAAAGAGAAGAGGGCATTTGTGAATGAACAGAACAGGTCACCAATTAAAAAAAAACTTGCAATGAAGAAACTTGCATTTGATGTCCTTATTACAGTCACAGTGAACCTGGGGATGCCATTTCTGAATCCGATAGACTCGCTATGGGTGCTGGCTCAGAAACTGCCCTTCCCAGCTCAACATGCTCAATGTGAAAAAAAGAAATCCCAGTCGGCACACTCAGAGCAAACCCGATGCACGCAGAGTGCGGCAATCAGATTTCTTCTTCTCACTCATCACAGTCACAAATACAAGATCAAACCTACCAGTAAATTCACTTTTTAAAAAAGCAACCTGTGCTTTGGAGAAAAAAAAAAAGAAAAAAAAAAAAAGAAGACACAGGCTTGTTATACTCCCCTCCTTCCCAGCAAATACTTCTCATTCCCATGACCCCCCCCCCACCAATCTGTTTAAAGAGTGTTATACATTCCTTCATCAGGAACTTGAAAATTTCAAAAGTTTCCATCATATAAAAGTTAATTATTCACCTGATTCCCCAAGAAGAGATGTTCCACTTTCCTGGAATCCCGATCCCATAGAACTACCAGCCCCCTACTGTAGCCAATCAGGATCTTCCCTTGTTCCTTTGGATGTTGCTGCAATGATTCTACTGGACCCAAGGCCTTTCCACATCGGTATTCATCCGGCAAGCTGCAAAGAAGATCATAAAATTCAGAAGATATACAAGCCTACAAAAAGGACAATTAACCAAACACAGTCCATAGCGGAGACGATCGGGTGAGAGCCGGGTTGTGGTTTGCTCACCAAATACTACTTTTAGGGCACTTTTTTCTGTGTGTCATTTTTTAAAAATCCACAACTGGTAACAGCGCACAGCAACCACTTCCCCTCTACAGAGGCTACTCATCAAAATCTTAATTTTTAAACTATAAAAATTACTTCGCCCCTCAAAAAAAAAAATTATTATTATATATATATATATAATATATAAAAAAAATTTTCTGAAAGCAGATGATTGTAATTTTATAATTTTCTTATGTTGCACAGCTGTTTATCAAACTTCTATTTAAAAAAAAATATATATATATATATATATATATATATATATATATATATATATATATATATATATATACTAAAATATATAATATATAATGCTAAAATAAAAATGCGAAAAAAAAAAAAAAAAAAAAAAAAAAGGGCGTTTGTGTTCAGTAGTAAACAGATACCACATATTTCAAGCCACCTGTGAAATTGCAAAAAGTTACGGTACTCAAAATAATAAATTGGCAATACTTGGAAGTACCTTTACAGCTCATGAGTATATAGCGGGAAATGACAGACCCCCCAATTATTGCTCTCACTCTGGCGTATGCAGTGATGCACAAGATGCGTGGCAATTTTTTTTTTTTTTTTTTTTTTTTTTTTTGCCGTAACAAAAATAATGAAATAAATACCGTGAGGGGGATTTACTAAAACTGGTGCACAAAGAATCTGGTGCAGCTGTGCATAGTAACCAGACAGTTTCTAACCTCAGCTTGTTCAATTACGCTTTGACCATAAAACCTGGAAGCGGATTGGTTACCATGCACAACTGAACCAGACTTTGTGTGCACCAGTTTTAGTAAAACCCCCCTGTATATATGGAGGTGATTGCGGATACAAAACCTCCTGCGTTCAGAGACCCAGATCAGAATACAGCGGGTAGAATCACATAAAAGTTCATCTAATGGCCGATCAAAGGTTGTGCAGCTTAAACACAAGGCTGGGGAGGCCCAATAGAAACTAACGAAGAACAAAAACAAAAGTGCACCAACCTTGCACATTACCTCAGAAAGTAAAGGGTGAAATTTGTTAAATTGAGATATATATGCACAAAAGTAGCATAGGTAAATGCATATAAAATGTAACATCAGCGTGTTAGAAAAGCAGACAGGTACGGATCCCATCGAGATGGGAGACTCTCAGAATGAACTGACGTGTTTCGAAGGGGGAATCCCTTCTTCTTCAGAGCTAGTCAAACAGAGCATGCCCTCCTCTATACATAGCACCAAGCCATGTGTGGGCTTACCCATATGGGCAGGACATTCACATATGGAGAGAGAGAGAGAGAGAGAGAGACGGGGAGGGGGGGGGAGAGAGGGAGAGAGAAAGGGATATGGAGAGAGGAGAGAGGGGGGATAGGGAGAGAGAGGGAGGAGAGAGATACGGGGAGAGAGAGCGGAGAGCGAAGAGAGAGAGAGAGAGGAGAGAGAGGAGAGAGAGATGGAGAGAGAGCGAGCGGAGAGGGAGAGATGGAGAGAGAGCGGCGGAGATGGAGAGAGAGAGGGAGAGAGAGATGGAGAGAGAGGCGAGCGAGAGATGGGAGAGAGAGCGAGCGAGAGATGGAGAGGAGCGAGGAGAGGGGAGAGAGAGAGGGAGAGAGCGAGCGAGAGAGGAGAGAGAGCGCGGCGAGAGGGGGAGAGAGAGAGAGTAGAGCGATGGAGAGAGGAGGAGAGAGGAGAGGGAGGATGGAGAGGGAGAGAGGCGAGGAGAGATGGAGAGAGAGAGGAGGAGGAGGAGAGAGCGAGCGGGGGGAGAGAGAGGAGCGAGGAGGGGTGGAGAAGGAGAGAGGGGAGGGGGGGAGAGGGCGAGAGAGCGAGCGAGGAGAGGGAGAGGGAGAGATGGAGGAGCGAGAGGGAGGATGGAGAGCGAGAGAGCGAGCGATGGAGAGGGGAGAGAGGAGCGATGGAGAGATGAGAGAGGAGAGGAGGGGAGAGCGAGAGAGGGAGAAGGAGAGAGGGAGAGAGAGAAGGAGCGGGGAGAGGAGAGAGAGGAGAGATGGAGGGGGGGAGAGAGCGAGCGATGGAGAGCGAGAGAGGAGCGATGGAGAGCGAGAGGAGCGAGCGGGGGGAGGAGAGGAGGGAGGATGGAGGGAGAGAGAGGGAGAGTGGAGGGGGAGGCGAGAGAGAGCGAGGAGGAGAGCGGAGATGGAGAGGAGGAGAGCGAGAGATGGAGAGGGAGAGGACTGAGGAATGAAAGAGAGAGCGAGAGATGGAGAGGGGAGGAGGGATGGAGGAGAGGGAGAGAGGGGAGAGGGAGCGAGAGGGGAGAGGAGGAGAGATGGAGAGCGGGAGAGAGGAGAGGAGGGGAGGGAGGGAGGAGAGAGAAGGGAGAGGGGAGGATGGAGAGGAGGAGGAGGAGAGGGGAGAGATGGAGGAGGGAGGAGGAGGGGGAGAGAGAGAGGAGAGGGGGGGGAGGGAGAGGAGAGGGGAGGAGAGATGGAGAGGGGGGGGAGGATGGAGAGAGAGGAGAGGGAGAGAGAGCGAGGAGGGAGGAGAGGGGAGAGATGGGAGAGAGAGAGAGAGGAGGGGAGAGATGGAGAAGGAGAGAGAGGGGGAGGGAGGAGAGAGAGAGAGGAGAGGAGAGAGGGAGGAGAGGGAGGGGGAGGAGAGAGAGAGGGGAGAGAGAGGAGAGAAGGAGAGAGAGGCGGAGGGGGGAGAGAGATGGAGAGAGGAGGGGAAGAGGAGAGAGGAGAGGAGGAGGGGGGGAGAGGAAGGAGAGAGAGAGAGGGATGGAGAGGGAAGAGAGAGAGGAGAGGAGGAGAAGGAGAGAGAGAGAGAGGGAGGAGGAAGGGAGAGAAGGGGGAGAGAGAGAGGGGAGAGGGAGGAGAAGGAGAAGAGAGAGAGATGGAGAAGAGGAGAGAGAGAGAGAGGGAGGAGAGAGAGAGAGAGGAGGAGAGAGGAGGAGAGGGAGAGGGAGAGAGAGAGAGAGAGGAGAGAGAGAGGGGGAGGGGGGAGAGAGAGAGGGAGAGAGGGAGAGGGGAGAGAGAGAGGAGAGAGAGATGAAGGAGAGAGAGAGAAGGGAGAGAGATGGAGAGGAGAGAGAGGAGAGGGCGAGAGATGGAGAGAGAGAGAGAGAGGAGAGGGGGAGAGAGGAGAGAGAGAGAAGGAGGAGAGAGGGGGAGAGGAGGAGAGAGAGCGAGAGATGGGAGAGAGAGCGAGAGATGGAGAGAGAGAGAGAGATGGAGAGAGAGCGAGAGGGGAGAGAGAGAGAGAGAGCGAGATATGGAGAGAGAGAGGAGAGAGAAGAGATAGAGAGAGAGAGAGCGAGATGGAGAGAGAGAGCGAGAGAGAGAGAGAGAGAGATATGGAGAGAGAGAGAGCGAGAGCGAGATAATATGGAGAGAGAGAGAGAGAGAGAGAGAGAGAGAGAGAGAGAGAGAGAGAGAGCGCAAGCGATATGGAGAGAGAGAGAGAGAGAGAGCGCAAGCGATAGGAGAGAGAGAGAGGGATATGGAGGAGGGAGGGAGGGAGGGAGAGAGAGAGTGAGAGGGATATGGAGGGAGGGAGGGGGAGAGAGGGAGGGAGAGAGAGAGAGGGAGGGAGAGAGAGAGAGGATGAGAGAGAGAGAGAGAGAGATATGGAGAGAGAGAGAGAGAGATATGGAGAGAGAGAGAGAGAGATATGGAGAGAGAGAGAGAGAGAGAGAGAGATATGGAGAGGGAGAGAGAGAGAGAGAGAGAGAGAGAGAGAGAGAGAGAGAGAGAGAGAGAGAGAGAGAGATATGGAGAGAGAGAGAGAGAGATATGGAGAGAGAGAGAGAGAGATATGGAGAGAGAGAGAGAGAGATATGGAGAGAGAGAGAGAGAGATATGGAGAGAGAGAGAGAGAGATATGGAGAGAGAGAGAGAGAGATATGGAGAGAGAGAGAGGAGAGATATGGAGAGAGAGAGAGAGAGATATGGAGAGAGAGAGAGAGAGATATGGATGGAGAGAGAGAGAGATATGGAGAGAGAGAGAGAGAGATATGAGAGAGAGAGAGAGAGATATGAGAGAGAGAGAGAGAGAGATATGAGAGAGAGAGAGAGAGAGAGATATGGAGAGAGAGAGAGAGATATGGATATATTTTTGTGGTTTTTATTTTGTTTTTTTTTTTATAGAGTGGTTGTGTTTGTTTTTTTGTTTTGGTTTTATATATATATATATAAATAAAACAAATATGTAAAAACACATGATCATTAATTGGAAATAGTAATATAATAAGATTTTACTGAGGTGATTGCACAATTAGAAATTATGCCTTTCCATTTTTTTAAACCAGATTGTATTTTGCACAGTGCAATAATGGCACCAGAGGGTTAACCCAAAGCAGAGACAATCAATTCCTCGAGGACAATTCATTCAGCACACTCAGATTTAGTTTTCTGTTCAATATGAAGTGGTGACAGTGACCCCTTCTTTCATTCTACTGAATCAAAAGATCTTTCCCTGCCTGCTGCCAAACCCATCAACAACCCCCCCCCCCCCCCCACTCCTCCCATCATCAGGCCTCCTTACCTCTGTACAATTTCATCTTGCAGCAAAGTATGGTCCTCCAGCAGCTTCAAACTTGGGATCAGCACAAAGTAAACCCCTCCTCCTTCTGTTCCTAGGCCAACCACATCGCAGGAACTGGTCACCAAAATAACCGTTACACGGGTGACACTCGGAGGAGAGCTGCAGACAGAAGAGGATTGTTAAAAATATGGTCAATATAGGCAAAAAAAAGTCCTATCCCCATACTAGATGGGGTGTCCTGTTCAGTTAAACAGGCTCACCACGCAAATGCATTTTCCTTTTTCGGGTACCTTTTAAAAAGGAGTACTTCATTTTAAAGAAAAACTACCAATTTGAAGGTGAACAAGCTTGGGCGTCTGTAAAACTGATCAGTTTATATATGTTTAAAAAAAAAATAAAAAATACAGCAGCAAAATAATTGTGCATGATTGTTCCTCTCAATTCCAATCTATAGACAGACTAATTATAAGAAGTTGCTACTTCAACAGTGCTGTGAAAAAGTATTTGCCCCCCCCCCCCCTTTTTTTTTTTGTAACTTTCCACACTTGAAATGATTTAGAACAAACAAATTTTAATATCAGACCAATATTGTTATGTAACCTGATACATGTCAGTTGCTGGGTTTCTCATCTGTTCTTGAATTTCCTTACATCGCGGCATGATGCGTTGCTTTTTGAGATCTTTTATCGTGCTTCACGACAGCCTCTATTTAAGTGATATCTTGATTCAACAGGTCTGGCAGTAATCAGGCCTGATGTGGCAAGTGAAATTTAACTCCGCTTTCCAAAAAAATGTGGTTAAATCAAAATCCATTCACGATTTAGCAAGGGGAGGAGGGCAATTACTCTTTAATAAAGAGCCAGGCAGGTTTGGACCACTTTTTTCCCCTTAATAAAATTAAAATTATTGAAAATCGGGTTCCCGGCTGACCTATTATACGGTGATGGCTGGGCGGGACCACTCTTGTTCTGGGAAGATGTCTCCTGTTCTTGGCGCGCAGTGTGGAGATCGGTCGCAGCACATCACTGATCAGGGTAAAGAGCCAATGACGCTGGCTCTTTACCATGTGATCAGCTGTGTCCAATCACAAGTAAGCAAATGCCGGTTATCGGTATTTCCTTTCCTCATCGCAGTCACTGTCTGAGGAAAGGAAGGCTGATAACCGGCTGTCCTGTTGCACTGATAATCAGGGCACTGATCACCAGTGCCTTAACTATCAGTGCAGCTTCATCAGTGCACATCGGTGAAGAAGAAAAAATGACTTATTTGCAATATTTTAGAACAGAAACAAAGAAAGGTTTTTCTTTCAAAATTTTCAGTCTTTTGCTGTTTGTTTAGTAAAAAATAAAAAGCCCACTGGTGATTAAATACCACCAAAAGACGGTTCAAGCTGTGTTAAAAATGAAGGGGGCAAATACTTTATCACAGCACTACATAATTAGCATTTGCATAAAGGTTGTTCACACTATATTGTTGCGGTAATGCATTTAGCAACGCACATAAATTGCGCTGGTGCAATGCAGTACTGTTCTCTCTGAATGCCACCCCAGCACACTTGCTGACAGACTGGCACTGCAGTGCAACTGGACCATTATTTGGTAGTACATTACAAGAACAGCACCACCGTGTGTTTGCTAAACATTTCTCTGAGAGTTGGGAAAGCATGGACACAAAAATCTGAACCTAGCCTACAAGTGGAACTAAACCCTCCAATGTATTTTTAGCCAAGGAAGCCGTCATTTTGCCTCGGTTTGATTTGTAGTTTCCAGGGTGCTGCACATGTAAATAGTTATGACAAGTCATTTGACGGCTTGACAGATCGGTTGAGAGCACACAAGCAACAATGAGAGGTAAAGCGGAGTTCCACTCACCCTGTCAAAAAATAAAAGTCAGCAGCTACAAAAACTGTAGCTGCCGATTTGTAAAAAACAGCCACTCACCTCTCCCACGATCCCGCGGTGGCCCCCCCGCAGCCAGTTTCACCAGCCGTCCTGTATTCCAGGAGGCTGGCATCTTCAGTGTGGGCACCCGGCTGTGACTGCTTGCGGCTTCACAGCCCGGTACCCACTGCGCATGTGCGAGTAGCGCTGCACTTCATGAATGGTCCTGTAGTCTTCTGGGACCTGTCACGTGTCCCAAAAGACTACAGGGAGGGAGGGAGAGAGGACACCTTCCGCTTCCGATCGCCTAGGCGATGGGACCGGAAGTGGGAGCGGGTACCTATGAAATTTGGGTACCCGCTTCCCCTCGCCCCCCCCCCCCTGCTTGTTCTGGTAGCAACATGAGGTGAAATTAAAGGCTTGGTTGGTCGAATTTCAAAATCAATGGTGGCGCCATCGGATTACAAAATGCACGAAATTTCCGATTTTCTAAAGAATATTAGTTTGGAATTCGACCCGTGTATGGCCTCCATAAATGGAAGAGTTTAAAATTCTTTTCTAAAGAATCCGTTTCCATTTTGGAATTTTTGGAATTTCAGTTGTATCTGCATTTAACAGTTTAACAGACTTCTGCGGCTTTGAAGCAACCAAAAACAAATTTATGGGGAGAACTTTCAGCAGCAAACAATTATGGCTGTACGCTAATAAAAGAAACTTGAGATGGACAAGTCATAGGAAATGCATTTTAAAGAGTGGTGAACCTGTTTAACTGAATGTCAGACGGCTAGGAAATGAGTTTATTTTTTTTGTTTAGTTGTTACATGAGTGTCACATCGTCCGGAGGACAGGACACAGCACTGGCATCAAAGGCTCAAGCATCGCAGAGGATTATGGGAAGAGGTCTTGTTTGGGCTACAGTAATGAATTATAGAATGGCGACCGGCTACGCGGCTCCTTCTTCTGAACAGCTGGACACGACAGCATTGTAGAGGAACCAATAAAACATGCATGAGACTGGCAGGATTCAGCCCTGTCGTCACTGATACTGATGTATGTTGCTGAGCAACGGTATGGAAGTTGACAGAAGAGACAGAAAGAGGTGAGATATGGTGGGGGGATAAGTAGTCTATGCGGAGCTACACAGTTTTTAGTTTAGTAAATCAAGTCATTTACACCAGCTTCAGATATGCAGAATATCCTTGGTTAGAGAACAGCTTTTTTTAGATTGCACTGCAGAACTGCATACTGGAATGGGGCACACAAACATCCTCAACATTCAAGGGTCCATTCTAAATAAAAGTTATCAAAAAGCTCAGCTACCAGAAACAATGCCGTGGTTGCATGTGGTCATGTATCGCTCTGCATACTGACCACAGGGGTTCACTCACTCTACACTGCCGCCATTCATAGAAGGGCTTGTAACTTTTTCAGTGAACACAAGACCTTCTCTGATTGAGAGGTGGAGATCATGACATCACTGCACCACTTCATCCAATCAGAAAACACCTTGTGTTCTTTAAAGTGGATCTCTACCTTTTAAAAATACTTTACATAGTTTGTTTGGGCCAAGCTGACCCAAAACGCGGAACTTTGTATGGGCCAAGGTGACCCAAACGCGGAACTTTGTATGGGCCAAGGTGACCCAAACGCGGAACTTTGTATGGGCCAAGGTGACCCAAACGCGGAACTTTGTATGGGCCAAGGTGACCCAAACGCGGAACTTTGTATGGGCCAAGGTGACCCAAACGCGGAACTTTGTATGGGCCAAGGTGACCCAAACGCGGAACTTTGTATGGGCCAAGGTGACCCAAACGCGGAACTTTGTATGGGCCAAGGTGACCCAAACGCGGAACTTTGTATGGGCCAAGGTGACCCAAACGCGGAACTTTGTATGGGCCAAGGTGACCCAAACGCGGAACTTTGTATGGGCCAAGGTGACCCAAACGCGGAACTTTGTATGGGCCAAGGTGACCCAAACGCGGAACTTTGTATGGGCCAAGGTGACCCAAACGCGGAACTTTGTATGGGCCAAGCTGACCCAAAACGCGGAACTTTGTATGGGCCAAGCTGACCCAAAACGCGGAACTTTGTATGGGCCAAGCTGACCCAAAATGCGAAACTTTGTATGGGCCAAGTTGACCCAAACGCGGAACTTTGTATGGGCCAAGCTGACCCAAACGCGGAACTTTGTATGGGCCAAGCTGACCCAAACGGAACTTTGTATGGGCCAAGCTGACCCAAACGAACTATGTCCCTCACTACCCTGTGAGGCTGCTTACATATAAACTGTATGTAGCTTCAGTTACATATAGCATACTGGACTGTGTTCCAGGAGCGAGCCAAGACTTTGTGTCATACCCGGAACACAGTAGAGTATCACAGCGGCGCTCAGCTATTCAGAGTGAGCAAAGTATTCTATAAATGAATACAAAGCTTCCTCTGATTGGCTAAGTCAAAGGTTGTGACATCAGCCCGCCTCTCTGACTAAGCCAATCAGAGGAAGCTTTGCATTTATTGATAGAATACACTGCTCACTCAATGACTGAGCGCTACTGTGATAGACTCTACTGTGTTCTGGGTATGAGACTGGAAGTCTTGGCCTTCTCCTAAAACACAGTGCGTTATGCTGCATGTAGCCTCAGCTACAGTTTATACTGCACATCCAGCGGCCTCACAGGTTAGTGAGAGACATAGTTCATTTGGTCCAAGCTGACCCAAACGACCTATGTAAAGTATGTCAAAAAGGTGATCAGCTTTAAAAAAAAAAAAAAAAAATTTAAAAAAACACCACACACACACAAGACGTTCCATGAATAGCAGCGGTGCCAAGCAAGCCACCTTATGGTTGGGGTGCAAAGCAGAAGCCACTCAGACAGAACCTCAGTAGGACAGCTAAAGGGCTGTCAGGAGATCTCATCAATACAACTCTACAATGCCCACCCTTTCCTGCTGGATCCAGGCAGGAAGGAGGAAGAGCATGCGGACGATCATGGTATACAAATATAAAAAATCTGTTCTAATAAAAATTTGGTTGCAACGTAGTACAGTCAACTGGTCACCTCGCTCTCCCCCCCTCCCTAGTAAGTAGAGAATAATTTTACCAATGTGAGTAAGTTCTCGTCCACTCCCAAATATAATTGAGCCCTCCTACTGAGCGGAGGTTCCAGACATTGCTGTCAAATCTCGGGTCTCTCTGTAGAACATTGAGGTGATTTACTAATCAACTGGAGTGCAATATACGTGGTGCAGCCTCTTCCCTCTAGAAAACCAATCCATAGC